GGCATGAGTTTAAGTCACTGGGTCTGGGACTTGAACCATGGTCGACTACATGGGAGTCCAGCTGGTCATATAGGCACTCTGCCTGACTTCTGAACTTCTAGAAGGAAAGGTGTTTATATAACCAGTGTGAATTACCGATTTAGGCACAATAAACCACATCAGGGAAGGGTGAGAACCCTCTCAAAATCCAAGTTTCTAGATGTTAGTCAAGAATCAACTTTGCAGGCCTTTCTAAGGAGAGTTGTCTCTGGTCTGCTATGTGTATGTTATAGCTTGGGTATGGTTTATTCTGCAAAGGTTCATGATTTTGAATTTGGTCCACAGTGTGATAGAGTTAGAGAGGTGAGTCTGGTGGACAGTGACTGAGTCATGAAGTCTAGGTGAAGCCTAGTGGATGATGACTGGATCATGGAGAAACACTCTCACGAGTAGATTACTATGTCTTTTGAGATTCAGTGAGTTCTAGCTCTTGTAGATGGGGTTAGCTCTTGTGGTGGGTTGTTATAAAAAAAAAAACAGGTGCCCATAGCTTGTTCTCTATATATACCTGCTGTCTTTCCTGCTTCTGATGGATATATAAACCAGTCTAATGCCTCGGACTTTTCAGCCACCAGAGTAGTAAAACAAATTATTTATTTATTTTTCCACTTTCCCAAACTTTATTAAAGAAAAAGCAATTGTGGTAGATCTCTGAACATAGTCAATTTAGGGGGATTTCTCCCTCAAAAATATGACATTTGATTTCCAAACACATGGTGGAAGCATACATGGTTCCAAACTGTACTAAGTAGGTAAGAAGCTGAAATCCTAGTATTCCTCTTCCAACTTTCCCCAGTCTGTGGTCTGTCTTTGGATCAGCAATAATTTCCTGAACAGCTACTATGGCTTCATTAATTTTCATCTGTAGCTCTCTCAGCTCTTCTATATGCAATAATGGCAGAATCTGAGCAGCTTCAGCAAGAACTGCATCTCCTGTATCAAAACCAAGAATATGTTTGTCTAGAGCAACAGGCAAGCCCTCTTTTGTTTGATTTGCTTTAGCAACTGCATCCTGTGTCAGGCGTTCCTGAACCAAAATTCGAATTGCCTAATGATGGTCAGGTAATCACCATGACGCTGAATCTGAAGGATAGACAAAGCCATTACACCAACCTTGAAGTCAGGGTTATTCACATCCAAATTGATCAATGGCTCGGCATTTTTAGTGGCATTGTCAGAATTTTTTGCATTATCAGGTACTAGGTCCTTGTAATTTTCAGCATTATCTCCATATTCAAGTCTAACAGCTAAACCGAGAAGCCAATCAATCTCTTCTTGTTCATCCTGAATCCTGAAAGGACAGTTAACATCTTTGAGATAACTTTTCAAAAAACTTGGGCCAGTCACTGCTATGGATCTTTCTTAAATTCCCCATCTTCAATCTTGTAGTGTCTGATTTTCTGGTCTTCAAGCCAAACAATAAAGTTTCTAAATTCTGTTTCATCATTGCAGTTGAAACTGGCAGGGTTGTGATAGTCGAGCGTCATAACATGCATCGGAACATGGTCCCCACTTCTCACTCAAGTCCCCTGGGCCTCACAAATTTTTATTTTTATAAATTGACCCATTCTCAGATAAATCTGTAAGCAATGCAATAATGGATAAAGAGAGCATACTAAGCCAGTTAAGAGTTTTCTGTGAGGTTGGCTAAGGTGTCATCTTTAACAGGCATGAAGAATATAGGAACATTAACCCACTCCTTCCCCCAACCCAGCTCCTATCTCCATTTTATTCACCACTCTGGCCCTGACAAAATTGAGGCAGATCCTGTAGGATGACAGTGGGCTGGCATATTTGACCAAGTAATAGTACTGACTACACCAGCTGTGAAACCTTTGTTAGAGCAAATGAACATGCCTATAAGTAAATCCTGTACAACAACCAATCTGATGAGTGCAGACATTTCCATCCCTCTTAAAGGATCAAAAGTAGTTCACATTTACATGGAATGAACAGTATACATGTACAGGATTGCCCCAAGGCTATCTTAATGTTCCTGTTCCTGTTATAATTGAGACCTAGACCAGATATGAATTTTACAGAAAATCACTTAGTTTATTTTAGTTTATTTTATTGAATATGTTAATTCAGTGTGCTGAACAAGAAGTGACTAATAAATTGGAGGCCTTGATAAAACATGTGTACTCCAAAGGGTAAGATAAAAATCTAAGAAGTTTAAAGATTGATGACATCAGTCAATATTGAGGTAGTTTCCAATGATCTAGGGTATACTAGAACATCCTCTCATCCTTTAATTTGCCTGAATTAAAAGGCAAATTATTACAACTTCCACGTCCCACTGTGAAGAAGGAAGCACAATTCCTGACAGGCTTTTATGGGTTCTGAAGCAGCATATTTCACATTTAGGAATACTGCTTTGCCCTATGTACTGGGTGACAGTTAAGACCACAAGTTCTAAGTAAGGCCTAAAGCAGGGAAGGACTCTGTGGCAGGTTCATACTGTGGGAAAGCAAGCCTGCTTCTTGTTATGTATCCTAGCAGACCACATATTAAAGTTATTGGTGGAGAGGCCCACAGGTGGCATGGTGGTTAAGGCGCTGGACTCCCATACAGCCAATCGTGGTTCGAGTCCTGGACCTGGTGGCTTGCTTTCTCACTTACCCTTTCTCTCTCTCTGCTCAAATTAAAAAATAATAATAACAAGTATAAATAAATAAATCTTTAAAAAGTATTGGTGGAGGGAAAAGATACAGAAATTAAAGCAAAACCACTGTATACATACTTTTCAGTTTTTTTTCTGCTCACTTTACTGCTCAATAAAATAAAGTAGTAACTTTATTGTATAAAAACCACATAAGACATTACTGGAGAAAATACTTTATTTTGCAAATAAATAATGGATTCTTTACCCTTCAATTTTTTGTTATAATTGTCTTATTAAAATGAAACATATTTACTACATTTCACCTTTTCTCAAATTAATGAATATAGAATAACTGTAATTATTTTAGCAACTTAAGTCTATTTTCAGAAATTTAAACTTGATATGGAGAAAAATGCCTCTCCTTTGTTCCTGATTTGGTGCTGAGGTTGAAGTGGTGTATTGGTGTAAGCTTGAAAACAAAATAGAACCCTTAGGTCGGCCTTGGCTGCCTGAGGAACTCTGTATTGGATGACCTGGTCCTGCTCTATATAGGACGGTTTGCCCATAGGCTAGGCTGGAGCTCTGGGAACACAGGACTGAGGTATATGCTACTTACAGGCATTTGTGTGAGCAGCAGGTGAGAAGGACCCCACTTTTTATGTCATATTTCTATTGGAAACTATTTTTTTCCCATAAGAATAAAGAGCAAATTGGCAGCTCTAGGTCCTTAATGATACCAATATTTTGCAGTGTTTTCTAGTGATACCATATTCAGTGAAAGAGAGGCTGAGGTCACTGTGAATACAAGTAGTAACAGTGACTACAGTAATTGTGAGAGTGGCAGAAACCGGGACGTCAGTCTTGGAAAGGTCTTCTGGGTTGACTTACTCTAAACAACAAGCAAAATGTTAGAATTTGGATATAATGTGTTTGGATCTAGCCTGTTACTTTTCTCCATTATCCATCAACTTACATTAATTTATACACTCACATATAGGGTGAGAGGAAATGCCTTCATCTCTGTCAAAGTCTCTCTTTAAAATCTAAGATCACACCTAAGCTATTTATTGTAGTTACTGATCATGCATTCAAACTTAAGTAAAAAAAAAATAAATAATGAGTAGCTATAAAAAGCAGTTTTTAAAAAAGTGGTAAAAAAAATATGAGCTAAGTGATTTCCTCTTAGTATACTGCTGATTTCACAAATGTGGATAAAATTCCATTTACAGGAAAGGGTTGGAATCTTACTTAGAAAATATAACATGCATTAAAACACAGAATATTCAATACAAAAAAATTCAAGTGACCACATCCTTATTGACTACTATAACACAAAATCACAGAGAACAATTAGCACAAAGTGCAATTCATATCTTATTAACAAAATGAAACAGGTGATATTCAAATTCTAATATAGCATAGACTTCTGAATAAAGTTTGTGTATGTATGTGCTTCAGAGGAGACTGTGGCTTTGCTAGTAGTTTTTATTCTTATCTACATTATTTATGACTCTTAATTTCAGTTGTTTTTAGTAAGAAATTAGTAGAAAATCTAAATTTCTGACATTACAATCAAGCAGAAAATAGTTAAGAGTTATTTTTGTACACTCAGTAAAAAGCTGGTCTAACCTGCTTTGTTACGTACCTATTCCTCCAAATAAGAGCTCTTGGGACAATAATCTACTAATGAAATGAAAATATTCTAACCTTTTTTCCAATTCCTTTTTAAACCAGAACTATGATTATTAATTTTCAGTGTTTTTTCCCCCTCTACATTTTGTACTTTTAAAAATGTCGGCAACATTACTTTCTATAAAACACCAAAGCAGCATTAAAAGTTTTCAGCTACCACTGGCATTCAGATTCTGAAGACAGACCTTAATAACTACAGTCATGAAGTAAAATGCTCAGACTTGTTAGAGCAACTTCCATTTAAAAATCCCATCTGTAACCCACATCTTTTTAAAAACATAGTTTTAAAAACTACTCTGGTTTACATCAGTGCCTCAAGTGAGGAAGAATGATGTACTGCATCAAAATCTGAGACCTCATCACGATGGGTCTTTATAAATTGGCTCTGAACAATTTTAAAAGCCAACAGATCTTCACCTTGTGTTATTCTCTGGGTCAGTAACATGGCCTTATAAAAAGATAAGTCTTATAAAAAGATCCTTTGGTGGTATTTAAAACTAAAGTACCTGGATTGAGTCTAAGCTGGATACCTGTTACAAGTAAATTCTGTTTATAGTAAAATACACTTAAAGTGAAACTCAACATACTTACCATAAAGCATATGGAAGTAAAGGTACTCTTTTGATATAAAAAATCTGATGCTGCTGAGCTGGATTGATTCCTTTTACTATAAACAGAATTTACAAGTAAATTCTGTTTATAGTAAAATACACTTAAAGTGAAACTCAACATACTTACCATAAAGCATATGGAAGTAAAGGTACTCTTTTGATATAAAAAATCTGATGCTGCTGAGGAAGTGTTCCTTCTACTACTGTTTAATGTGGCTAATTTGGTATCATTTCCTTAGTCCTGCAGAATTATCATTAGATTTTAACATCTTGTAATAGTTACCTGGCACTAGTTTAGGTCTATAAACACATAACTGTCACAAGTCACACAAAAACATGATAACTTGCACAAATTCTTGTATATATCTTCAAAAAGAGTACAGATAACACTATAATGCATAATGCTCCAGAGGATCCAAAGAAGCACTTTAAATGTTGGATATTATTAAGTGAGAATTATTTTCTAAAGAGCTGTACCAATGTCAACGTTAGGTAGGACATAACATGAATTATTTTATGGAATATAGTCTCGTTCTATGTCCTCCTGACAACACTCCCAACAGAAAGCATCCAGTCTATTTGCTGTTTCTTGGCTGATCAGACATTCATCCTTTAATTCCCTGATTGTCTTCCTCAGTGATTTTTGAAAACGTTTCTCTCGTTCTAAAACATTCCGCAGACTTTCCTTGGTATCCTCTAGCTCGCTGATCACATAATCTAATTTATGTTTAAGTTTCTTTGGACTGTCCATTATGCTGTAGCTATGTTCCTAAAAACATAAACGCCAAGTTATTAAGTCAGACAGACTAACAGTTAGAAAAAGGCTCCTAACTAGATCTCAACTGCTTCTTTGTTTATGATGCTTAGTTTAAGTTGGTGATACTTAGATGTTCAGAACAGAGAGTGAGGATGGAGGTGGAAGCTGTATTTAGGATACACTGGGCTTCTCTCCTTTTTCTTTTTTTTTTTTTTGCCATAGGGCGGGTGCGCTAGCCAGATAGACAGAGAGAGACAGAGAAACAGAAAGTGAGAAATCACCCGCCAGGGGGAACGGCCACGCTGCAATCCCTTTTCCTCCATTTTCCTCTCGGGATTTTGGGCACACATGCACATGTGCCCGGCATGAGTTTAGCTACCAGGTCAGGGACGTGAACCGTGGTCGACCAGCAACATAGCCATTACGCTAACTGCTGGCCCCTTCTCTCCATTTTCTATGGCTGGGTATAAATGAGTTTTGTAGACTACTCTGAATGGGAAACAATTCTCATCTGGGAGGCATTACGTGCTAGGAAAACCATGTCACTCACAATGACTACCCAGCTTTTGTTCCCTAATTGTGGCACTGATAAGTTTCGTTTTTACCTTTCAAACAAATTTTAATTGTAAAATTTTTAACCGAGTTACTTAATTTTCTTTTCTTTTTTTTTTTTATTTGGAGATGTTTTTGCTATAGGGCGCATGTGCTCGCCAGACAGACAGAGACATAGAGACAGAAAGCGAGAAATCATCCCCCAGGGGGGATGGTCACTCTGCAATCCCTTCTCCTCCATTCTCCTCTTGGGATCTTGGGCATGCACGCACACGCAACCGGTGTGAGTTTTAAGCCACCGGGTCCGGGATGCAAACCGCGGTCGACTACATGGGAGTCCAGCGACATAGCCATTACGCTAACTGCTGGTTCCCCCCGAGTTACTTAATTTTGATGAGTATTTCACTTTATAAGGGATGACAGGTGTTAGGGATTTAGGAAGGCCTGTTTTGGAATTTTAGAAAGATAAATGAACTCCTCTCACTATTTGTTATGGTTAAGCTTAAGTCTGCTGGGTACACTCCTGTCTTTTCATTTGAAAACGGTAAATAAAATTGACATACTTAGGAAGAAATTATTAATAATGGAGCTGGCAGGTGGCATGGTGGTTAAAGGTGCTAGATTCCCACATTGCTGACTGCAGTTCAAGTCCTGGACCTGGTGGCTTGTGCTCGCTCTCTCTCTGTGTCTCTCTCTGGTCAAATTAGATAATAGTAAACAAATGTAATTTAAAAAATAAATAATCCTTTAAAAAATAAAGTATTAATAATACCACTAGATAACCTACACTAGAAAGGAAGATGACTCAAACAATGACCTTATCGTCTTCCTTAAGAAACTAGACAAACATGAAAAAAGTTTACTTAAATAAGCAGGAGAAATAATAAAGATTAGTCAAAACCACTGAAGTAGAGGCAGACTAGTCTTCAATAACAGAACAGAAGCAAACTGCTGATATCAGAAGTGAGAGATATAGCTACAAATTCTACAGATATTAAGGGATTAATAAGAAAATAAAATGAATTATAAGCTAATAAGTTTGACAACTGTGATAAAATGAGCAAATTCCTTAGAAGATAGAAACTACCAAAAAAACTTTCCTATAAGTGAAACTATAAATCCAGATAGCTTCACTGGGAAATTATACCAAATATAAATAGAATAATACCAGTTCTACAAAAGCTCTTCTAGAAGATTGAAAGAGTTTCTTCTAGCAGATTGAAAGAGTTGGCAATCCTTTTCTTTTTTTTTTTTTTTGAGAAGTTTGTGCTACAGGGCACATGTGCTTACCAGAAAGACAGAGACAGACAGAGGGACAGAAAGTGAGAAATCATCCCCCCAGAGGGGGATGACCATGCTGCAATCCCTTCTCCTCCATTCTCCTCTCAGGATCTTGGGCACACAAGCACACATGCCCAGCGTGAGTTTAAACCACCAGGTCCGGGACTTGAACCGTGGATGACTACATGGGAATCCAGCGACACAGCCATTATGCCATCTGCTGGTCCCTAGAGTTGGCAATCTTTTTCAGTTCATTTTTTGAGGATATCATTATTTTGATATTGAAACAAGATGAGGATATCACAAAGGGCTATAGGTCAAATATTCCTCTTGAATATGCAAAGACACATTAAACAAAAATTTAATAAATTGAATCCAACAATATATAAAAGGAGTAACAAATAATGAAGAAATAGGGTTTATTACAGGAATACAAGTTAACATTTAAAAATTAATATTAATTATTATTATTAAAAATTAATATGATAAGGGCCAGCAGGTGGTGTGGTGGTTAAGGTGGCTGGACTCCCACACAGCTGATCTCAATTCAAATCCTGGGCTTAGCAGCTTGATTTCTCACTTACCCTTTCTCTCTCTCTCTCACTGGTCAACTTTAAAAAAAGAAAATAAAATAATGACAGTGAATAAAATTGAAGAAAATAATTTTAAAAATTAATATGATATAGTTCATCGTATTAATAAACTAAAAAATAAAAATGATATGATCTCTCAATAGATAAAAAAGTACTAAACAAACATCCATTTCTGATCAAAATTCTTAACCAACTAGAATAGAAAGGCATTTCCTCAATTTGATAAAATGGGTTTGTGGAAAACCTAGAGCTAACATAACTTTTAACAGTGAAAGACTGAATGGCTTTCTCCTAAAATCAGGAACAAATATGAAGATCAGCTCTCAGTACTTCTATTTAGGGAATCCGTAGCTCAAGGCAGTTCGATAAAGCAAGAAAGAAATGAAAGGCATCCATACTGGAAAGGAAGAATCAAAACTGTCTTTAATCAGAGAGAACATGATCATCCACAAAGAAAATCTATCTGATAGTCTCTATGAAAAGCTTCTATAGTTAATAAGCTTTTATCAAGTTGCCAGATACAAGATCAATATACAAAAATCAATTGTGTTTTCACATACTAGCAATACCATTTATAATAACAAATATATGAAATACTAAAGGATAAATCTGATGAGTGAAAGACCTTTATGCTGAAAACTGTAAAACTGTAAAAACTTTATACTGAGAGAGGTTAAAGACCTAAATAAAAGCATATATATTGAGTTTATGTACTGAAAGACTATGACTAGGATGTCAAGTTTTTCTCAAATGGAGCTATAGATTCAACATAATGTCAAGCAAAATTCCAGTGGGTTTTTAGGTAGAAATTTACAGTGATTCTAACATTCATATAAAAATGCAAAAAAAACCCAGAATAGACAAGACAATTTTGAAAAAGAACAAAGGACTGGGAACCAGCAGTCAGCGTAATGGCTATGTTGCTGGATTCCCACGTAGTCGACCACGGTTCACGTCCCAGACCCGGTGGTTTAGAACTCACGCCAGGCGCGTGTGCGTGCGTGCCCAAGATCCTGAGAGGAGAATGGAGGTGAAGGGATTGCAGTGTGACCATCCCCCCTGGGGGGTGATTTCTCGCTTTCTGTCTCTATGTCTCTGTCTGTCTGTCTGGTGAGCGAACGCGCCCTATAAGATGGCAAAACAGATCTGAATTCTAGGCCTTGCTCTAACATGAACAGGCAAATAAGATAAATACAAACTTGAAAACACCATTTGTCTAAGAATGTGTTTCAAGAAACCTAAAAATAGGCCTATTTACTCCATTTGTCTATGACTGTGTTTCAAGAAACCTAAAAATAGGCCTATTTCTTATTTTATATTTCCATATAGAAAATATAGTACTTAAAGGGAAGAATTATTTTCTTGTTACAAACAGCTTTCCAAAAGCATTCTGTGAATTAAATATGTAAACAAAGGATTAGCTACTTTGAAATATTTAAGCTATAATGACCCTGGGAAGCAATTTTATTTTTTAATATTACATATTTAAAAAAAAACCAAAACTTGAAACACCCACAACTCTTAGTTTTTTACTAAGACTGAAAGTTTGCGCCTAGTAAAGAAATACATTCATTTTAAAAATATTAACATTAGCTCAGTGGGAAATTTTACTTACAAAAATGAACTGGGTTTGGAATTCTTCAACACGTGTGGAAGTACCAACTAGCTGGTGATTGTGGTTTGTGACTGGAAGGGTTTTGAGGGTGAAGTTTTTTCTACAATGAAGTTTTTCTGTTTTTCCCTGTTAGGAACAGTTAATAACAATCATTGAGATATTTCTGTCCTTTCTTAAATTTCTATTCTTCTTTACTTTGTATAGTGAAATATATTTCTTATGAAAATTGCCTTTAAAAGTCAATAAATTCCACTTAGATTACTTTAAAGGAAATTTCTGAAAACAATTCTAAAGCTCTTCTAGAAACACAGATTTTCCTAAAATAGGAGTAATAATTAGGGAGGATATACCCTAAGAGTTATTAAAAATACAGTATCCTTGGGACCAGCAGATGGCATAATGGTTATGTTGCTGGACTCCCACAGTCGACTGTGGTTTGAACCCCAGACTTGGCAACTCAAAATTCATGCTGGGTGCGTGCGTGCCCAAAATCCTGAGAGGAGACTGGAGGAGATGGGATTGGAGCATGGCCTTGCCCCCGGGCGGTGATTTTTCATTTTTTGTCTTTCTGTCTCTCTAGTGAGTGCTTGTGCCGTATAGCAAAAAAAATCTCTCTAAATATGTGTGTGTATGTCACACACACACACACACACACACACACAAAACACATATATATTACAAATAAATATTTTACACAATAATACTAGTTAATAGTGCGCTTTCTTAGGACTAGACAGAAATATCTGGAAATAGATCAAGTAGACACCTTTAGAAGTGGCATTCTAGTTAAAATGATAAAAAAACAACCAAGTTAAGAAAAATACTTATATCCTTTATATATAATGAGCCACAATAAAATCCTATGTTCTGAACATTAATGTTAAAATGAAAACCACGAGGAATAGAATAGAGAGAATATCCCTATAATCTCAAGGTAAGGAAGATTATCATATAACACAGGAGAAAATAGGATTTACTACTTAAAAAACATCTGAATGTCAAAAACTAAAACAAAAACAAAAAAACCAATGCCACAATTAAAACTAAAGACAAACACCAAAAAGTCATGGTAAGATGAAAGTTAAATGATTCATATTCTCACTGCAGTGATTTTACCACATAGTTTAGGAAAAGATGGAAATAGAATAATATTCAAAACAGTAAGTCATAATAGAATACAAATATCCAATAAACACATATAAAAACGTAGTAATTCACTAGTATTCAAAGATAATGTCATTCTAAATGTGCCGTAAGAATGAGCTTCCAGGGCCAGCAGGTGGCGTGGTGGTTAAGGATGCTGGACTCCCACAAGGCTGACTGCAGTCTGAATCCTGGACCTGTTGGCTTGCTTTCTCTTTCTCCTCCCCTTCCTCCCTCTCTGGTCAAATATAATTAAATAAATAAATAAATAAAAATAAAATAAAGTTAAATAATTCTTAAAACAAAAAACTTGGGCCATCCCTGTAGCCTAGTGGCTAAGGGAACTAAATTTCACATGGCTAACTGTGGTTCAAATTCCAGCCCTGGCAGTTTGGAAGACATGCTGAGTGTGTGTGTGTGTGTGTGTGTGTGTATGTCCCAAATCTCAATAAAATGGAAAAATGAAGGGATTGTGGTGTGACCATGCCATTGAAGGATGATTTCTCCCTCTCTTTCTGGCCAGTGCGCATGCCCTCTGACAACAACAAAAACAGTAAAAAATAACAAAACAAAACTTATAGGATGATAGATACTCTTATGCATAAGTAGTGGGAGTAGATTGATATAAACTTTCTAATGAATCTTTGGGAGACCAAAAGCAAAGTCTTTTATTTTTAAAATTTTTGTCATAGGGTCCATGTGCTTGCCAGAGAGAGAGAGAGACAGTGGGAAATTACCCCCTGGGGGGATGGCCACATGGCAATCCCTTCTCCATTATCTTCCTGGGATTGAGGGCACACATGCACATGTGCCGTATATGATTTTTCAAGCCATTAGGTCCAGACTCAAACTGTGGTTGGTCATATGGGAGTCTAGCACCTCAAACACTATGACACCTGCTGTTCTTTTTTTTTTTTTTCTAAATGCCAGAAGGCTTGTGTGTGTATGAGAGAGAGAGATGGAAAAAGAGAATAGAAAACACCCTTCAAAGGGGCCTGGTCATGTCACAATTCATTTTTCTTCCATTTCTCCATCCTGTCAGGATCTCGACACACGCACAAGCCTGGTGTTTTTTCAAGCCACCGGGCTGGCCAAACTGTAGTTGTTTACGTGGGATTTGCCTTTCTCTGTGCAGTGCTTAACCAGTGTGTCATGGGGCCAGCTCAAAAACAAATCTTTAAAAATGTATATACTCAGGGGTAGAGAGGGAATTAAGGGGGAAAGAATCTATATACTCTTTGATCCAACAATTTTATTTCCAGGAATTAAGTTTAAAAAAGTAAGAATATGCATAAAGATTCAGCAACAGTAATTCATTTTAGTGCTGTTTAAAATACTGAAAGATAATCTATACACAATAGAGTAAGGACTGATTATATTGTTCATATGTATGATCAACTACTATATAGGATTAGAATTTTTCTTTAAAACTAACATCACCAAGTATGGCAAGGATGTGAAACCAAAAGAAATTTTATATGCTGATGGGAGGGCAGTAAATTTATAAAACCACTTTGGAAACCTATAGCAATAGCTGTGTATGCTAAACACAGCTGTCCCCAGGACCCGATAGCTACTTCTAACAGAAGTATAGATATGCTCTACAGAAATGTGTACATAAGTGCACCAACAGATGACAAAAACGTTTGTGACTATACCATGTGTAACGCCCTAAGGTGAAAAACAACGTAAATATTCATCAACAACAGAATGGGGAAATTTATTTATTTATATAATGGGATACTAGTTAGCAAAGAAATGAACTACTATCCCATGCTGCAATGTGGGTAAATCACACAAACGAAATGTTGAGCAAAAGATGCCAGAGTGCATCATCTAGGTAGGCCTCCTTTTATATAAATGGTAGTTACGGGAGTCGGGATAATAATTATCTTTGGGGGTTAGTGACTGGAAAGGAGTGAAGAGGAGGCTTCTGGGGCTCTGATAATGTTTTATGTATTGGTCTGAGCAGTTACCAACGTATTCGCTCTGAAAACTTATGATGTGTGCACTTTTACACATATATATTTCAATATGGTTTGGCTACACAGGTTTCTTTTAAACACGTGCTCCACAGATCTGCAGCACAATCACGTCCAGTGCTTGTTAAAAATGTAGAGTCCTGAACGCCAATCCAAACGTATTGAAACGAGGTCTCTGGGAATGATGCACAGGCATACACACACACACACACACACACACACACACACACACACACACACATATATTTGAGAGGTTTTCACTATAGGGCGTGTGCGCTCGCTAGACAGAGAGAGACATAGAGACAGAAAGTGAGAAATCACCCCCTGGGGGGATGGTCATGCCGCAATCCCTTCTCCTCTCGGGATCTTGGGCACGCACGCACACGCACCCAGCATGAGTTTTAAGCCACCGGGTCTGGGATATGAACCGCGGTCGACTATGTGGGAGTCCAGTGACATAGCCATTATGCTAACTGCTGGTTCCCCAGGCTTCTATATTTTAAACTCTCTGAGTATTCTTACGTAGCCTGAAGTTTAAAAGCCACCGTGGAAAAACCTTTTAATGTCATGGAGAGTAGTACTCAAAGAGTGAACTCTGGAGTCAAAATACTTGGGTTCAAATTTCGCCTCTGCCATTTAATAGTGACTTGGGGGAAGGACTATCAGCTCTCTGGGCCTTGGTTTCCTCAAGTGATAAAATGAGAATAATCAGAGTACTTAACTCATAGAGTTGAGACAAAATGAGTTACTATATATATAAAGTGCTTAGAAAAATGCCTAGCACATACTCAACAGCAAATAAATATAAAACAACAGAACAACAAAACAAAAAAGAATATACCACTTAAGTCTATTTTTGTAAAGTTATCTACATACAGGTGAGCTTATACAAGATACATTTAAATTACTAGAAAGAGACACTTGAAAGTGTTCGCAGTATTATCTCTGGATTATGTGATTATCATCAATTTTTATTTTTACCTCATGACCTAATTTCCTCTAATGAAAAAAATCATTATAAAGAATATAATACCTCTTGAAAGTTATTAACTTATGGTTTATTTGATTAATTATGCCCGTATTTCTTAAGGTCTTTTTAATATTTCAGCCAGTTGAGGGAGATGGCAGATGGCATAATGGTTATGTCGCTGGACTCCCATGTAGTTGACCGCAGTTCGAGTCCCAGACCTGGTGGCTTAAATTCATGTCAGGTGCGTGTGCGCCCAAGGTCCCAAGAGGAGAATGGATTGCAGCATGGCCATCTCCCCCAGGGGGTGATTTCTCGCTTTCTCTCTTTCTGTCTCTCTTTCTGGTGAGTACGCGTGCCCTGGAGCAAATGCCCACACCCCCCCCCCCCCCCAGAAACAACTACCCCCACCCCCCCCCCAAAAAGAAAATATTCCTGCCGTTGATACTTTGCTGGCAGAGGGGAGAAAACCTTTAGAGCAAAGTATATTAAATATTTTCTATCCATTATTATGGAAGAAAGGGAGGCAGGTTCTCCTTGATCACCCAGGCACGGAAATCTGACCAGCCATCAAGTGACCAAGACAACATGGGGGTAGGTGCCCTTCTGGGATACATCTCTTGTTTCTAGCTGCTAGGAAGGAGACAGCTTTCGGTGAAGGCTCTCCTTGGATTTTCCACATTGGAATCATTTGGTCTACAGTTTCTGGAAGCAAATATACTTTTGGGTATACAAAGTCAGTAGAGATATTAAAGTCAAGTCAGCCAACTCATGGCACTGTCACCGAGAAAAAAAAAAACAAAGTTCAGCCTGACTTTACCTACTTAATTCTTTAGTTTTCTCTTTAAAGTCTATTCTTTCTCCTATCCTTTTATTCTTTTTTTTTTTTTTCCATAAGCACATATGCTCACCAGAAAGGAGAAAGTGAGAAATCACCCACCCTCCGGGGGGATGACCATGCTGCAGTCCTTTTCTCATTCTCCTGGGATTTTGCGCACACACATATATGTGCCTGGCATAGTTTTTAAGCTGCTGGGTCTAGGACTCGAACTGAGATCAGCCATGAGGGAGTCTAGAGCCTTAATCACCATGTCATCTGTTGGCCCCTTTCCCCTATTCTTAATTTTCTTTTGGTTTTCTTTCTTTTGTTCTATCTAGGTTATAAGCTTGTATGTATTTGGCTCTTAGAAGTATATACATACTTCAGTTTTATATATACTTTAATCATGCTAATGGTTCCATTCTTGACTTCTAATCTGGTGTGAGGACCACCAACTCAGAACTTCAGTTTAATCTTATGTTAATCTCCATTTTTTAGACACAAACTTTGAGTTATGCCAATATCCAAAATCAACCAATTTTATCAAACCTTAGAAATATACAAATATTTACGAATGGCTACTGGTAAAATATTCCTATTATACATTATAAAAGCTGAAGCTAGAGTTTATGAACTTAAAAACTGAACATGGACTTCAAGTGAAAAAGCAAATCATAAGTGCTGGCAAGAGTGGTGAAGGTTCTTCAATAGTATCATAAAAAGTGAGCAATGATGCTAAGCATCTCATGAACAAACCTGTAAGTGATATGGGGAATCAAAGATAGAAGGTATGACTCCAGGTTTCAGTTTAATATTTGGAGCACTTCTGTCAAAATCTGTCTTCTGAAAGTGTCTTGAACACAACACGTCTCCTTTTTTAGGCTCCCAAATGCCTGCAGCATTCACATCAAGTCTTTTCATTGCTAATACCCATTTTCTTTTGACATTTTCATCTGTGGGGAATCTAGAAAAAATAATTAAAAATTAAACAGAATTGACAGATACTTGAGTTTAAACCTGTTTTATACAACTGCTTAAATTGATTCCTGAACTATTTTGCTAACACTCTTGGGAACTTCAATATTCAGAAAACCATGATTCATCTTTTTTAACTTTCAGTTTCAATATTCAAAGTTTTCTACCAATTGTGATGCAGATACATACCCTAATCTCAATTAAGCAAGAAAAGTTTCAATGAATATCTATTATCTTATACTAAGATCCACAATTAAAGGTTTTCTTCATCTATAGATGATAAAAATGACCACTGGGGCATTCTCTCATCTGATCTGATACACAAAATTTATCTCCACTGAATGGAGCCCCTGAGACTGTTTTCTGTCAGCATCAGAAAATTGCTATTACAACAATTAATAACACAGTATGTCTATATATGCTTAGTGAATGAATGCAGAAAACAGCTACAGAGTTTGCAGAATTAGTTTGGGTGATCTGAAGGTCACTAAGCATATTTTTTCCAATTTTTCAAGTTTGTTCAAATTCTTTATAGAGTATACATACTTATTATTAATTTCTTTATATGTAGCAAGGTAGTTGGGAGATTTTTCTCTAGCACACACAGTGCTTGGCACAAAACGGCAAAATAAAATTTAATAATTGCTCATGTGCTCAAAGTTTACCACTCCTATAGCTATCTGGTGAATGGCTAAAATAGTAAATTAAGATAATCTGGATTTATTTGCAATACATTTAAAGAATCCTTGGTCTGAATTTATACTTTTTCTCTGCAACCCTTATTTGATCTGTTTCTAAATAGGATGGATGATAAATTATTTGAGCGGAGATATTTCATTCAGATTGTAAATTACATGTAAAGAACATTGTGTTCAAAGGCAGGTGGAAATACAAAGTAAAAATATTAGCAAAAGCGAGTCTGAGTTTTTTTTTTTTTTTGTAAACCAGACTGATACCTTGGCGATTATCTTAAAATATGAACTACAAAAGTGTAATGGTATCAATGTCACTCCAAATTTAACAAGGTTACATAAAAAAAGACTGGGGAACTAAATTTCAAAATAGAACTCTCTCGTTTTTCCTTAACAATCAAAAGCTCTTGGCTTAAGACAGCAAAATCTTACACGTGGAATGTTAGTCCTTTTAACTTGGAATTTGGCAAACAGCGAGATGCACATCCAATGGCCGAGCAACATTTCACCATGATTTTAACAAGTCATAACAGAACTGAAAGAAATTCAAATGGTAAGAGTTAGTAACTTCAAAGCTAAAGGGATACATATTTACCTTTCCTAGTATGTTTTAGAAAGTAAAATCACGTTAAAAGCCAAAGGCAAATATTGTCTTCTAACGCCTGCAACATTGCATACAAAATGTTCCAGGAGCTTGGCTCTTGAATAAGGCGAGGCATATTTAGCTCGCACCGTGAGGTCTGATTTCAATTTTGTAGGGTCCTACATTTCCCTTCCACGTTCTGACGGGTGCGTTCTCTCTGCCACAAATCCTTTGCCCTAACTCCTATCGGTGTAGTAACTCCTACAGATCTTTCAGCCCTCAGTCAAATGTCGCTTTCCCTGGGAAACCTTTCCTGCCACCCAGACTGAGTCAGATTTTCCCCGGGGCTAGCTCTCACAGAACACACACTTCTTCAGGCACCTTACACTTATTGCAGCGATTCTCTGATGACTGTCTCTCTCCGTCCCCCGACCGGTTTGAGTTTAGGAGGGCATCGTGGGGGCGGCGTTTCTATCTTTTCTCACTTTGTCAACCTAGTTGGTGTCTGGCATACAGTAAATGTTAATACAGATTTTGAATGAATGAAGAGCAAGTAAAAGAGAAGGGAATGTAGACAAAAAAGCAGTTCAAGGCGCTAGCGACAGCCTTGGCACCACGGGCAGCGCGCGCCAAGCCGCTCGGCGACCCGGGTCCGGCCGGGCTCCGCCCCTTTCTCCAGGCTCCCGGCCGCCCGAGGCCAAGAGGGAGGGGCCGCCCTGTCACAGGTGCCGAAGCGGCCGGAGAGCGTCCCTTCCTGGGGGGGGCCCTAGGCCACTCCGTGCCGCTGTGGTTCCCCTTGGTCCAAACGACGCCCCGGGACTGAGGCGAGATGGGGGGAAAAGAATGGGGAACCTAAGACTTATTACCGTTAGCAGCGAAGACAGCGACTAACGTCGACAACGGAGATTGCGTCCCCTTTCGCTTCCGCCCCGTAGCCCCCAGGAACCGGAAATCCGGCTGCCCCGAATCACGTGCTCTGCCGCCATATTGGCTCTGGAGGCTGCTGCAGCAGGGAGGGGCTATATAGGAGGGGCTCCGCTCTTCTGGGCGTGGTCTTCATCTTGGGGGAAGGGTCTGAAGAGTGCGTGGGGAGGTGCAGGCGATGGCGGCGACGGCGCGCGAAGATGGCGCTGGAGGCCAGAAGCGAGGCCAGAGGGGCTGTGAGCACTATGACAGAGGATGTCTCCTGAAGGTGACGACTTCAATGGGCTCTTCGCGGATGAGCATCCCCTGGGCCGCGCCGGGCAGGGGGCGGGGTGGGCAAGGCGGTTACGTTCGGATTTAAGTTTGAAGCTCAGTTGTTTGTCAGGACACCTTCTCCACCTGCAGCTGGGTTCCCCTGGTGGAGGACGTTTTGGCCGGGCGACCGTGAACCCTTCTATTGCTCTCTGCTTTGTACTTTGCAAGCAAAGCCTTTCTTGTTTGGAAAGAGCTTAGGTTTGGGCAACGGTCACTTTACCCGTGGGCTTTTGGCACTGGAAGTGGATGGAGGCAGCGCCAGGCCTGTGCTGGGCTTTAACCCAGTACTGTCTTCAGGTGTATGATGAAATAATGGGAAGAGAATAAGTAAATGAGGAACCAGAATATGATTTCAGCTCCTGCCGTAAAAAGTTTTACAGCCCGCCACCTTCATTTTAGAGGCAGTGGGTATGCCTGAACCTGTTAGAAAATGTATGTGTGAAATATGATTTGTAATTGCCTTTAAATAGGAAATTTTGTATAGGCAAATGAGTAGGCTACATGGATTATTACTTTTGCTATTTACTTTGATGAAACTTCCTAGTCAGTCTAGAATCTGTTCAGTTGGCACCCATCCAATTGAAATTTCCTGGTTTAATTTTTATCTTTTGAGAGGTGTAATATACGGATTTTGCTTAGAAAACTTAATCTTTGGAATTACACCCCCCACCTCCAGATCTTAATAACTCTGTGATTGTGATCAAGACACATTTTAAGTGCTTTGTATGTGAAATAGAGAAGATAGATGGTCCTGCTGCTTCATAGGAAAGTATGAGTGCATAGATAAGTGTTTAGCAGGGTGCATTCCCTGGAGGAAGTGACTAGTAAGTGTAGGCTACCACTACCATCATTTTTGTCATCCTGATGTTTTTTATTGTCTTGCTTCAGCTCTGCTGGCCACTGACCAGAGTCATTAGAAGTGAGTGGTAGTCTTGATCCTGTAAGGACAGCCTGATCTCTTTTCTGTAGGCTTGGTTTGGGGAACATTGCTGCAGTGCACTGGATGATGTGCCATCAAAGTTGGTCATTTACCAAGTCTTATGCAAGAAAATTGCATGCTATCCTTCTGATTTCTTCTTTTCTTAAAAAGTATTAATTTTATTTAACTTTACTTATTTTAATTTGACTCGAGAGGGACAGAGAGACAAAGAGAAAGTGAGAAAGCACGCTGCCAGATCTGGGACTCGAATCACAGCCATGTGGGAGTCCAGTGCCCTTAGCCACCACACCACCTGCTGACCCCTTCTAATTTCATTTCTACTGAGATGTTCTAGGACTCTTTCAAACTTGAGGTCTACAACTGAATTTAGCATCTTGTCTTTTCCTCCATCCTCTCCCCACCCCCCAAAAGAAACCACACAGCTAGATCTGTGTTTCACAGCACTAAGATACTTGGCCTTGAGTGTCAGTATTTTTTTTTGGCTTTCCCCTTCTTCCTCCTTAAATACTAGAGGCCTAGCAGATGAGTTTCAAGGAGCAGATTATCAACTGGAGCAAATGCAACTGCTTGAGTAAGAAAAAAACCAAGAATTGACCTATGAATTTGGCAACTGCTGAACTTGACAAGAGGAATTTCGATAGATCAGGATAAAGCTTGATTGGATTGAAGAGAGGATGGTACAGCCCAGCCTTGGTAGTGCAGCACTCCTATGCAGTCCTGAAGGCCACATGGAAAGGCTCTGGATTCACATTCTTAGTTTATCTGATGTTGAGCATGGCCATGGGTGCACCTGGGGCCCGTTGGCTGAGGTGAGGATAATCACATGAGGATCTTGTCAAGGGTGTCTCTTTTTCTCCTCTCGAAGGCTCTGGGTTCACATTATTAGTTTATCTGAGGATGTTGAATATGGCCATGGGTGCACCTGGGGCCCGTTGGCTGAGGTGAGGATAATCACATGAGGATCTTGTCAAGGGTGTCTCTTTTTCTCCTCTCGAAGGAAATAAGACAATGAGAGGAATGGAACTGGAAATGACTTTTATAGATATTTTTGGAATTTTCCTATAAAGGAGAAAAAGGGTGAGGTGGTTGGGAGATATGGAATCATTTTCTTTTCAGTTTAAGATAGGAGGTATTGCAACATATTTGTATATTTTTGGAAGTGATGTGATAGAGTGAGAACATTTTATAATAGTGGAGGGAGAGGGGAAACTGTAGGGGCACTGTCTTTGAGTAGCCAAGGGGGATGAGATCCAGGGCACACGTGGAAGAGTCAGCTTTAGCTAGAAGCATGTATTCTAGATTATTGTAAAAGGAGGGAAGGCAGAGGATGACGTATATTTGCATGTAGGTTGATAGAGTTTGTGGAAGGATGTTCTCTTTTGATTATGTTTAACTTCACAGTCAAATAAGCTGAATGTAAAGGAGGAGGACTAGGTGTTAGAGTTTTCAAGAGAGAGGATAGGATGTCAGATGACCCTCTGGATCTTAGGTCTTAGACTCTTGGAGATTGAGAGAATTGTCTAGGAGAATATTATAGTAAGAGTCTGTATTTGTGAGAAGTTATGCTTAAAAGTGAGAGCAGGAAGTATGGCGAATCTTTTCCTCCAGTTATATTCAGCTGCTTGTCATAGAGGTTGAATAGGAGAAAGCTGGATTTAATGAAGGTTGGATTTTGTAGGTAAAAGAGGGAACTAGGGGATATACACACAAGGGAAGGCTAGGAGTGAGTTGAAAAGAGAAGAGGGGACCAGCCAGTGCTATAGTGATTAAGGCAGCTGCATCCCACACGGCCATCTGCACAGTTTGAGTCCCAGATCTGGCACCTTGGAAAACACTCTGGGCATATGCACATGTATGCCCAAAATCCTGAGAGGAGAATGGAGAAGGGATTGCAGCATGGCCATCCCTCCTGGCGGATGCTTTCTTTCTCTCTCTTTCTCTGCACCGCTCCCTCTGCCTGGTGAATGCACATGACCTATATATAGCAAATTGGAAAAGAGGAAAAAAAGAAAATTAAGATAGTGGTTAGAGAATTTAATGTTTGAAATTAAGAAACAAAGAGGATGCATATTAGTTGATGTGATGCTGTGCTTCACAATGCTGGAGCCACAGGGGACCACATGGGGGAGGCCTGGGTTTACATCCCAAGGTTTTCCTGTCCACACCATCCCCATGAACCAGGCTGGCTGGGAGTGGAAAACCCACTGTGTGCCTGTGTGAAAACTCTATTGTATATACGGGCCTCCCTTTCTCTGGGAAGAAATAAGAAGTTTGCAGTTCTTGTTCTGGAGCAATAGTTCTCAAAGTGTGGTGAATAGACCTCTGGGATCCTTGTGCTTTTAGAAGTCTGCAAGGTCAAAACTCCTTTCTATAGATACTAAGATAATTTCTTTTTTTTAATGAAAAGAAATTTTATTATTTTATTATAAAATCTACTAGAGAATGTACCACGTGGGATTTTCTTAAATGACAAATAAGGCACATTTCCGATTCCCGATTCTTCTGAGAACCTCAATGCCATTTGTCTTTAGGAGGATCCAGTTTCTTACAACGTCTGTGATACTGTCCATGAGGATACCATCGTGCTCTGTAGTAAAGAACATTTTGCTAGGTTGTTCTATCGTGGGTCCTTGCTCAGGGTTTTCATTTTTCTCTTCTAATCTGGATTTCAGCACTTGATCATGTGTTTCTTCATTATTATACAGAAGATCTGGTCTAGGGATAGGTTTTATGTGTTCATATGGAATATCCATAGATGGGTCCTGCCATCAGATGTCAAAGCAAGTTCTACTTTGCAATTATAGCTTTGCAATTATAGTCATCTGGAAGAGAAGAATACATAGATTTATGACAAACACAATATGAAGCTCCATTTTGAGTCAGAAGGAAATGTTTCAAGATAGTTGTCTTTATTTATTTGGTGAGGGTTTTTGCTATAGGGTGCATGTGCTCTCCAGAAAGACAGAGAGAGACAGAAAGTGAGAAATCACACCCCAGGGGAGATGGCCACGCCGCAACCCCTTCTCCTCCATTCTCCTGGGATCTTGGGCATGCACACTCATGCGCCTAGCATGAGTTTAACCCACCGGGTCTGGGACGTGAACTGCGGTTGACTATGTGGGAGTCCAGCGACATAGCTATGATGCTAACTGCTAGTCCCGATAGTTGCCTTTGATGTCACCCATGTTATTGCTCTACTGCCATAGTGTATCAAGATGCTTCTTAGGTGGTACAAAAAAAGTGTCCCACAGAGAAATTGCTTTTAAAATCTGCTTTTAGACAAACTACCTTTCGACCCTTGACAGATTATCACTCCAAGCCTGCCATCTTGTTTCAATTCCAATAATGTCTTTTTCAATGTATTAACATTTGTACAGATGGTGGGGAAGCAGTGATTAAAACTGCTAGCATCAGGACCAGCAGTTAGCGTAATGGCTATGTCGCTGGACTCCCATGTAGTCGACTGTGATTTGAGTCCCGGACTCAGCAGCTTAAACTCATGCCGGGCGTGTGTGCATGCGTGCCCAGGATCCCAAGAGGAGAATGGAGGAGAAGGGATTGCGGCGTGACCATCTCCCCTGGGGGGTGATTTCTCGCTTTCTGTGTCTCTGTCTCTCTGTCTTTCTGGCGAGTGCACGTACCCTATAGCAAAAAGCTCTCTAAAAAAAAGAAAAGAAAAAAAAAACAACAGAAAAAACCTGCTAGCATCTTAGCATGAATCAAGGCAGTGGCACTGATCTGTATACTATAGTTAAAAAATAAGAAAAAGCCAGTTTCACTTGAAAATGTTATTGATGCAGTACAATTATTAATTTTATCAAATGTCATCTTTTGAATACATGTCTTTATAAAATTATATTTGATAGAAAGGGAAGTTTTCTTCAATCACTTCTTTTTTTATTTTATTTTATTCATTCATTCATTTATTTTAATTTGACCAGAGAGAGACACACAGAAAGAGAGAGAGAGAGAGAGAGAGGGACAGTGAGAAAGCAAGCCACCAGGTCTGGGACTCGAATCTTGGTTGGCCATGTGGGAGTGTCCAGCGCCCTAACCACCATGCCACCTGCTGGTCCCCTTCTTCAGTCACTTCTGCAAACTGAAATTAGATGGTTGTCTTGAGGAAAAGCTCTTATGCAATTGGATTGCAATATGAACTAATTTTGTTCCCCCATGGAATAATATTTTCTATTTGAAAGAACTATGGTCACTCAGAGTTGGATATTTGGCAGACGTTTTCTTGACAAGGAGGGAAGTGAGATACAAGGAAAACAATTGACATTTGTTACCAGTGATAAAACTCAAGATTTCATGCAAAATTTCAAATTTTGAGTAGCTCGTTTTAGCTTCTATGAACTTGAAAGCTTCCAATATCTAAAGTCTTTTCTTTTTTTGGAGAGGTTTTCACCATAGGGCGCATGCGCTCGCCAGACAGAGAGAGACAGAGAGACAGAAAGTGAGAAATCACCCCCCGGGGGGATGGTCACACCGCAGTCCCTTCTCCTCCATTCTCCTCTCGGGATCTTGGGCACGCACGCACACGTGCCCGGCGTGAGTTTTAAGCCACCGGGTCTGGGACGCGAACCACAGTCGACTACGTGGGAGTCCAGTGACATAGCCATTACGCTAACTGCTGGTTCCCCTAAAGTCTTTTCTGATGAGATTTTCTTTCCATTACCTGAAGACTTCTAATGAATGTGATTTTTTTTTTTTTTGGATATCACATGTCAAATATGAGAACATTTTGAAGATTCATGTTAACTCAGAGAGCTGGTGTTTTCCAAGTGATGATCACATGGGCAAAAGGTCCATTCAAAATACAAAATAGGTCAATGGATTTTAATGTAACCAGAAGAAAAGTTCATTGATAATGATTTTAGATTTCATGTTGCAACTAACTTGTAAGAGCTGTGAGTTTGGCATAGTATCAGAAAGGAATATCTGTAATTCTCTGAAAGGTTATTAAACTCCTACTTCCTTTTCCAGTTACATAATTATATGATACCAGAGTTTATTCATATATTTCCACTGATTAAATGAAGCAGCAGATATGAGAATTTAGCTATTTGGGGGAAAATAATACTTTTCATTAAAATGTTATTTATACTAACATGTAATGGGTTATTTATATTTTAAAAAAGCCTTGGTTTTAATTATGATATGGTATATAGCAGTAAATATAACATATATAAATAAAAGCTCTCTGAGATCCTCAATAGTTTTTAAGAGTGCAAAGGGGTCCTGAGACTAAAATATTTGAGAATCATTGTTCAGTGGTGTGACTGAGAATATGTGGCTGAGGACAGTTGGAAGACAAGGCCATTGGAAATGAGAAAGTACAGGAGTTAAGGCTATAGGATATTAGGATGATCATTGTGGACATGCAGATCACTGAGATTTAGGACAGGAGAAGCATTAGAGAGAAAGGAAATGAGGTATCAACATCTCTAAAGGATGAATTATGTTATGGTGAGTCGTGGCATAAGAAGCATTCAGAAATGAGTGGATCTATAAAGCGATAGTGTACTGGATATAGTGGGTTAGCCCACAGGCCTGGAAATTTCGTGCTATAGAGAGAGTCAGAGTAAGGTTGGGTTGCTGTAATGAGAAGACCCACCAATAATGTGTAAGAGTGGCACAGTGGTCCTGCACTCACATGGGAAAGGTCCTGGGTTCACATCCTGTGACCTCCTATGGCATGTTGATGTGTGTACATGTGGTACATGCTGCTAAGACTGGGGAGTGGATCATGTGGTAGGGGCTTTATTGGGGTTGCTGTATCTGTCTCTGTCTTCCTCTCTATCATGGAAGAAATGGATAACACAAAAGAAAGAATAAAGAATTTTTTTTCTTTATATTTAACAATTCTAAGGTGAGTGATTCAGTTCAATGATGAAACTTTGTCCCACACAGTCACTCCAGGGATAAGTTTTTCCCACTGTATTATTTTAAGTGGTTTTAGGGCATATGGCCATCTCTATGGTCCAAGCTGGGTTGCTGCCATATCTAGGTTTTATCTGTTGGAAAAGGAAAGGGAGCATGGAACAGGAGGCATGCTCATGTCATGCTCAGGCCCAGAAGTGGCACTGATTTATCTGCTCATATTTTGTTGGTAAGAACTTAGTCATTTGGCCATAGCTAACAGCAAAAAAGGCTTGGAACTGTGGACCATCTTGGACCCAGGAAGGAGAGAATAGATTTTGGTGGACACTGGCAGTCTTTTGAAAACAAGGTCTGTCTTTTAAATTTATTGTATCTTCTATAATATTAGGTAAATAGTTGATGATTAATAAATACTAGTGAAATAAAAATAGAATTTTTATATATTTAATGTTTAAGGTTGAAGTATGTAAATTAATTTACCTGGAAATGTCTAAGAAGATGTCACTTGTCTGCAATTAAGGCTGACGATGAAATTAGGGTGTCATGAGAGTACTTTTTCAGTCTAGGGGTTTACATCCTTCATAATTCATTTGTCTTCAGGGTTGTGTTGGTTTCATACAGATATTTAGAAGTCAAAGGGAATAGTTAATATAAAATATGCAAACAGTGAATTATTAAATTTTAGATCAGTTTAGTAAATTGAACCATTTTTTGTAATCTTTGAACTTGTTCCAGAAGATGGAGGAAAAATGTTCTTTTCATACTGCAAACTTGTCTTGTGATTCTGATATATCTTTTTCTCCCCTGGGAGCAGGCACCTTGCTGTGAGAAACTTTATACTTGTCGGTTGTGTCATGATAACAATGAAGATCACCAGCTGGATCGCTTTAAAGTGAAGGAGGTGCAATGCATAAACTGTGAGAAAATTCAGCATGTAAGATTTTATGATGTTTCTATTTTCTTTCTTTTTGAAAACTTTATTAAGGTGGCTTGAAATAATTTAGTTCAAAGTATTGCAAATAAGACTTAGGTGTTTCTTAGGAGAAGTGGTATATTTGACTTAGATATTTAAAAATTTGCAAAAATAAAACTGCCATATGATGGTGCAGGAGTAAAACACAACCCTCTGTGAAGCAATCCTACGTGGGTTCTCAGTTTAATTCAGAGACTTCCCTAGTATGTTGGGCTCCCACTTGCCTATGATCTGGGGCTGACCGAAGGCCGGAGGTGGATCATAGCATTACAACCCTGATGGGGTTGCTGTCTGTGTACTTCTCTCTTTCTCCCTCTCTCTTAGGGAAGAAATACTAGTAAATAACGAAAAAGATATGGTTGGAGATTATCTTAAAAAAGAAAACTGCATAGGGCCAGCAGGTGGTGTGGTGGTTAAGATGCTGGACACCCATATGGCTGATCATGGTTCGAGTCCTGGACCTGAAGGCTTGAAAATCACACTGGGCGCATGTGCGTGTATGCCCCAAATCCCAGGAGAATGGAAGAGAAGGGACTGCCCTGTTGCTCTCCCTCCAGGGGGTGATTTCTTTTCTTTTCTTTTTCTTTTAAAAAAAGATGCAACAAATTTTTAAATGAAACAAACATTTCCAAAACAGCACTGAAAAGTAAGTGTACTTGATCATACTCAACTCATTATTCAGCAAATAGGTGAACAGAATAATAATTTATGACAAACAGCATGTTCAACGAACTGGCAACAGAGATATTTGGTCAGAGAAAGGCAGAGGAACTTTGTCCTTTATGAATTAGAACCAAGGGGCTCTATAATCAGCTGGCATTTGCTCAGTGTTGTATCTATGGTTAGAAATGTACATGATAGGAACTCCTAGGATCTTTCAGATTCTTCGTTTAAGGTCTCGGTCAGCTGTGGCCACGATGTAACACTTGTGCTGAGTTACTCTCTGTACTAAGCAGTCACCTGCATAGGTTCCTTTATGTGTGCATGATAATCGTTCAAATTGGATCTTTAGCGATCCTTAGAGCCACTTGGTACTTTTGCCCCAGTTTCTCAATTTCAGCCGTTACACAGACAGTTATACAAGGGATATGCTTGGCAGACAGACAGTCCATCATGGACTGCACTAAGTCCAGTTTGGCTTTAATGGAAAAGTTGATAAAGTTGGTGTCAACCAGGATGTGGCAAGGTGGACCCAGCTGTGTATTATATTGAAAGAATAAGCAGGAAGGGTGTTGGGGGACATCTCTTTCCTTCAGCGTGTGAGGATCTTTCTTTTCTTTCTTTTTAGATTTTAATCTATCCTCACTTCATGGTCACATACTTTCTTGTTTTCTTTTGTTTCCCCATGCTCACGCCACACTCTGGTTTATTCCGCTCCAGGGGGTGATTTCTCATTTTCCCTCCCACTCTCTCTTTCTTTCTCTCCAGTGAATGCATGATCCCTATGGCAAGAACCTAAAAAACAAAAACTCTGCATATAGTTTAACATAAATTTTGGATATTCAAATAGAAGTTTAAAAATTTCCAATGTTTAATTATATGTGTCTTTTTTTAGGCCCAACAGATCTGTGAAGACTGTAGCACATTGTTTGGAGAATATTATTGCAGTATATGCCATCTATTTGACAAAGATAAGAAGCAGTATCATTGTGAAAACTGTGGAATTTGTAGGTACTGTATGTAAAGTGTTCTTTTCTAATTATTTCTAATTTATCTGAACGATAATGGGTTTTTTTCCCCTCGTTTTCTTTCATTTATTTATTTATTTTTACGTTTTTCCACAAACACTTACTTTACATATCAAAAAATTTTAGCTCATACTCCATAGTTCTTGACAGTTTATAAACAACTTTCAAAATTTCAAAATACTAAATTTTAAAGATAATCTTCAAAATATTTCTTGTAATTTTGTATCATTTTGTACCTCTATAACAATGGAAACAGTATAATTTTAAATATTTTTGAGAAAATATCATGTCAACTACTCAAATTGTTGAAAAGCAAATGCCCAGCACACTAGTCACTTATAAACCTTCTCAATTCAGTCCTGCCCAAGTATTCTGTGATATACCATCTGCTAGCAAAGATCAGTCTCTTTTTCTTCCTTCAAAGTCTTTCTCAAGATAATGCTCTGGTGTGGTTGCTTTTATGCAATCTCTACTGGTTACATTGCTGGGCTGGAAAAGTCCAGGTTATTTTATGTTATAAATTCTTTCATGTATCTTCTCTAATCCTCTATTTATGGTGCCAGGCCATCTTTCTAAGAGCTTCTGTAGGCTTACTTGAGATCCACCTTAGTTCCATTGTTTTCTGATTGATCTTCAGATATGACGTTCTAGTCAAAGCCCTATCCAATAATGAGTATTTTCTATTTCTGATTCAATGCAACAGGCATTATAGAACTTATACAAATAACCCTTCTGCCACAAAATAAGAATACTCCCCAATATTTTCAATTCAAGAGGGGTCAGGAAGGAAGAAAAGTTTGTATTTCCATTTAAAGAAACAAACAAGAAAAATATTTTAACAAATTGCTGAACCTGTCAACAACTCGAAAGAAAGTAAAATGTTTAAATTGGGAAAACAAAGCATAGTGAGAAAAAATCAGTAATGTTTTACTCAAAAGTCATAAAATTCTATTTCATCAGTTCAGTCTCATGTTCAAACTCTCTTCTGTTGAATATGCAGTGTTGCTGTGGTCCAATCTTTCCGTTTAAATCCTAAAAGTTAACATTCAACGTTGTTATTGATATTTCTTGTCCCTAGCATTAAACTGGTCATTTTCTTGATTGCCTTTTGTTCTCTTATTTCTGTATGTGTCTTTAGTTTTCCTGGTCGAGCACTCCTTTCAGAACTTCTTGAAGAGTGGGTCTGCTACTGGCAAATTCTTTCAGGTCTTGTTTATCTGAGAATGTTTTTATTCTTTGTTTCCATATGAAAGATAATCTTGCCAGGTATAGTATTCTTGGTTGAAACTGTTTTTCACTTAACACTTCGAATATATGTTCCCATTCTTTCCTTGCTCGCATTGTTTCTTATGAGAGATCAGAGGTTAGCCTGAAGGGACAATAATAGTTTTTAAAGTCAACTATATTAGCATGTAATTTATGTCTGATAAAATGCATTCATGTTTAGTGTCCAGTTCGCTGACTTTTGACAAATATATACATTTATGTTACTATGATACTATGAACACAGTCAAGATATAGAGCATTTCTTTTTTTCTAGAAAGTTTCTTCATGCCTCTCTGCAGTAGTCATTTGATTTGCTCACTTACTAGTGTAACTCTTAAATTTTAACTTTGAGATACAAGATATTTTTATGCAAAGCGTTCTATAGTAAAGTGATGTAGAAAATTCAGGTAGACTTTTTTCTTTTTAAAAATTTATTTAAGGGAACCAGCAGTTAGCGTAATGGCTATGTCGCTGGACTCCCGCGT